TGAAATAGATTTTCTTGAATAATAAAGGAGTTGACTGTTATGCTTTTTATGAGAATCACAATTCTCACTTAGCTATGGCATTTGGCTTAATCTACGTTGCGATAAGGTTGTGCAAGATCAACAGTTCTTTTTTTTCTGTAAGCGAATTTCTGCGAAGCGCCGCGCCGCGACGGTGAGACGTCGGAGGAAGTATAAATTTGCATTTTAAAAGAGGAAAAGACGTAAATTCATACCTCTCTGGTCATGACGACTAGCGTTATGTTGGGCGCCTGCTTCTCATAGAACGCGTTCGGGTCGGTGATGTTAATGCCCTTGGCGAGCGTCCAATGCCCAACTTTACGGACTTCCTCCTTCTTTAATTTCAACAGATCCAGCTTGAAATTGAAGCGTCTGCCCTCGTTGAATTGTAGGTTTCCAGTTAATCCAGAGATGCCTGACTGAAACAAAGAAATAGCTTAACAATGCCAACCGTTTCAACTTAAGCACTTAGTACTAAAGTTAACCAGAACAATACACGATGAAGAAACAAAAATTCAGTTTGGAGAGGAAACTTCTATGTATGGATGTTAACAATTCTTTGTTTTCTACATAGAAGATCACCGCAGAATCATACTGATGTCAGATATCTTCCACACAAAGTTATTTTTATTCGTTACAATTCAATAAAATTGACAATAGGGCACTTTTGACCAGCTTTCACTTGGAAGTAAAGGTTCATCATTCCAGTTTTTAAGTGTTTCTTGTTCTTTTGATGTACAGCATACATACAAGGTCTGTTCAAAAAGTATAGCGAATTTTGTGTTTTTTCAAAAATTATTCATTTACCTAACTTGACGCGCTTTTTGGTCAGGGCTAGTACGGTACCTTCCACTGGGATGATTGAGTTTTGGTTCCACGTCATAACCATAAACCCACGATTTGTTACCAGTGATGACCCTCTGGAGCAAATATGGGTAGTCGCGGACAGAGTCCAACAGCTCCTTAGCAATAGTAACACAATACTGTTTGTGTTTGAAATTGAGCAATTCTGGTACAAATTTCGCGGCGCCCCGTTCTTATGCCCAAACCATTGGTAAAAATCGAAGGGCAGGAGCCAATCGATATGTTTAGATCCTCAACAATTTTTCTAACAGTGATTCGACGATTGGCCAATACTATTTTTTTCACTTCATCAATGTTTTCATCTGGTGTTGACGTGCTCGGATGTCTAGCATGCTCTTTATCGTACACATCTTCTCGGCTCTCTGAGAACATATTGTACCACCGATAAACATTGCTCCGGTCCATGGTAGTTTTTCCATATGTCACGGTTAACATTTGGAATGTGTCCGCGCACTTAATTTTGTTTTTCACACAAAATTAACTGAACATTTAACATGACCGTACTTGTGGATATATAAGTGAGAGACATGAACACCAACATAACGTCACAAAAGAATATACGTTCCAGCGGAAATTCATAATTCGCGATACTTTTTCAACAGACCTTGTATAATCAAAAACGTTGTCCTGTTTGTTGGTGTTGAACAACTATACCGGTAAGGATCTAATTTCCTAGCGTTCCTCCTACTTAACTTTTAATTAATAATTAAAAAAAAAACTATACCAAAAAGGACCCATAAAGAAAGAAAAAACAAAATATTAGTTTCGTTCTACACCAAAAATACGACGAAAACTCGTTTTAAATTGTTCTCGATTCTGGGCGCCCAAAATTAAATTTTCCCATGCACTCTGCAAAATAATAATAATCGCAATGACTGGTACCAACGAACGGTAAAAACGCCGCCTCCGACAGTCAAGCGACCCGAACCTGAACGTAGCAGAAGGTATGTCGACAATTTAGGGCTTCAATGGAAGCAAAATTCGCAATAGCTGATCTGAATTCCGATTGGAAACGAGAGCAGCGCGCCTTCTGGATATATGGCTTGATTGAATTTTTCCGGTTGCGTCCTTCTCATCTAGTGTTCTGATGGTGCTACATGCGAATATCGAATTTTGCTATTCATTTGATTAAAATAAGTAAATTTCAGGCTGCGTGGAGTGCGGAGTGGATATAACGAAGTGAATATCAAAAGAGTATTAAAACCTACAACAAATTTTCCTTTTGCGCATAATAACTCATAAGGGGAGCAGAGACGTAAGAAATGGTTACTGCGCAGGGAGATACGCTATGACCATAAGTAATAGATATATTAATTTCTTTACGTACTTCACATAGGTAGCTAGTAAATACGTAAAAAACAAAATGCAAAGTGGGCATTCCATAAATAGTTTTTAAAATAAAATGTCAAACTAAATTTTAAATTTACCTACTAATTCAGAAAACGGATAATTCATCTGCATTTTTCATTACAACAGACTATTTTTATTTCAAATTGAATTTGAAACATTAATAAAGTACTTGGCCCGTACTTTCTCACTTGAAGAATACGACTTTGTAGGCATCTCATCAATTATTGCTCCTTTTTTGAAATTGAAAAGGTTTCTGACGATACTTATTTGAATACGAGATTGGAAATAAATCTTCAAGAAGTTTGGAAACAATAATAAATAATAAAGTGCATATTCATACCAGTGAATCAATGTAATTGTAAAGAGAAAGCCCATCATTCCAGGGTTCTTCAGTGTCACAAGAGAGGTTTACAGGTTTCAATGTGTAGCGAGAATTCATTGCGGCCAAACCATGTGCAAATACGTAAACTGCGTCGAATAGTAAAGCAGGTTCTGCCTGAAAAAACAAGAGGAAATATACAAATTTTTCCATTTAGGAAACAATTTTTCCGTTATTAGAGTTACGGATATGTTATCATCTATCATCACCATAAGGTCGTTAGCCCTAACACTGGTTGGACACGTACCTCCACTATTTCCTATCCTGAGCTAATCTTCACATTTCCCTAAAACTAGAACAACCCACATCCTTAACTATTTGTGAACAGTAATCTAATCTAGGTCTACCTCTACCCCTCCCAACACCGGTTTCTGCCTCTAATATATCTCTGACTAGACCTTCATGCCTGAGAAGGTGTCCTACCGACCTATCTCGCCTATTTCTTATTGACCTCCATAGAGTCCTTTGTTCTGCTGTTTTTTCTAAAACCTCTTCATTTCTAACCTTCTCTATCCACGGTATCCTCATCAATCGTCTGTAACACCACATTTCGAACGCTTCTAACCTTTTCTTTTTCGCCGCGCCCACCGCCCATGTTTCGCACTCGTACAACGCCGTGCTCCAAACATACACCTTTAACAACCTTTTTCGAATTTATAAATTAATCATTCGCGAGCATAGAAGTGACTTCTTTTTGTTAAAGGCGACTCGACCCTACGCTATCCTTTGCTTTATATCCCTACTACTCCTTCCGTCTTGACTTATCTGACTTCCTATAGATACCTAAAATCAGCCACTTCTTCTTAATTTTAGGTATC